CTCCAGCCCTCCTCCTCCTCCAGGGGCAGGTGCCCACATCACAAACACCAGCGCCAGCCAGGCGCTAATTGGTCCCTGCGCTGCAAGAGACCATGGACTGCACCGGCCCTGGAGATTCGGTGTCTCCCCCATGGGCCGGGTTGGGGCGTCAGCGGCGGGGCGTGTGTGTGTGTGTGTGTGTGTGTGCGCGCGCGCGCGCGCGTCTACGCTGCATGGCTGCAGTGCTCGAGGTCACGTGGGAGCTGGGCAGAGGGCCCAGGAGTCCGGCCAGGCAGGGCTGGCGCGTCAGCTCCACGGGACAGGGACTGTGCAGCGTCTGGCTACCACACACCCTGCTTCCCCGAGACCGTCTCCCTGGGCAGGAGCTGAGCTGAGCTCCTCGGCCTGTCAGCTCGCGTTTGCCACCAGCACCTCGCCGCCTTCACCCGCTCACTGCCATCCATTCCCCGGTCCCTGCACAGCTCCCGCCCCCCGCTGCCAGGTCCAAACTTTGCATGGGGCTGTGATGATGAGGATGTTTCACGGGGGGTGTTTCTGCAAATGGCGCAGCCGTGCGATCGATGGCCGGGGGCCGGCGTGGATGGGGCGTTTGCGTACGCGGATGGAGTGGATGGGTTGCCGATACTTCCCCGCCGCAGTGTGGGACCGTGATGGATGGGGACACGGGGAGCGCAGGGCTGGGGGGCAGGCAGCAGGCTCTGAAGGGGAGGGGGTGGCCATGCTGTGGGGTGTTAATTGGTATCCCTCGGCCGCCTGGGTGGTGAGGGGCCGTGCCGCACTGTCAGAAGGGGCAGCTGTGTCTTTCCCCTCTCCTGGTGTGTCCCTGAAGCCCTGGGTGGACACCAGGGCACCTGGGATGTCTGAGAGCGCCAGGACCCAGCTCATGTGCTGCACCCTGCTGCCCTCAGGACCGCGGCGTGTACGGTCTGTGCCCCACGGCGCTGGCAGGCCGAGTGGGAATAGATGCAGGTGGAGTGGGGCAGGGAGCGCGGCTGCAGGGCCATGGGCAATGGGGCTCTTGGGGCTTCGCAGCCAGTGCTGGGGAGCCACGTCCGGGCCACGGGCCGTGATTCCAAGCCGTGGCTGCGGCAGCACCGGGCTGTCCAGGTCTGTCGTGCCCCCAGGGCTGCCCCAGGTCTGTTGTGCCTGGCGTGTCCCTGCCCCAGGGCAGCAGCTTGGCCAAAGAAAACCAGTGCCTGGGCCAGGGGAACCTTGGCTGGCCAGGAGAGATGACGAAATCTGGGAAGAACCAGCAGATTTTGGCCAAACACTCCCTGCTCCCCAGGCCCCAGTGGAGGATGTTGCACAAGGCTCCTCCTTGCCCCATCCCATCGTAACCAGGAGGGAGGGGGAGCGCATCACCCTCCTCGGAGTCCCCCTGAGAGTGCCAGGCCGCGACCTGCGCCCAGCTCTGGGGTGGAGCCGGACTCCTGCCCGCTGCCCTGAGCCAGCCAGGCACATGTGCCCATATCAGGGTTGTGCTCACTCAGATGTGCCCACAGCTGCAGGTGTGCACATGACAGCGCCCTGATAGCACGTTCAGGGAGGCTCCCATGCATGCATGGCCGTGTGCCAGCCCTGGTGCCCCACCTCCCCTTCCAGCACACCAGCTTCTGGGAACGGGGCAGCTCTCCCAGGCAATCCTGCATGGGGTGGGAGCACAGAGGGGCGTGATGCCTGGGCTGCTCTCAGGCCCGGCCCTGTGCACAATGTTGTGACCCAGAAATAGACCTGGCATCATCCTCCTCCTCCTGTCTCAGCTGTAGCCCCACTGCCCTGCTTCGATGCACAAAGCCGTGGCAGGACCCGCTGTCTGGTGCATGATGGGAAGCCTGGTCCTCCCAGCCTTCTGGGGTGGGGGGAGGCAGGGGACAGGACCCGCAGGGGCTTCCTGCTCCACTCTGGTTATAAGAGGACAAGACCCAGAGGAGAGCAAAGGCCTGGGGAGGGGAGCTCTTTGTGCATGCACGTGTGCATGTGCACATGTGCTCTTACGTGTGTGTGTACACATGTGTAGGTGTGGAGACTGCCTCCAAGGCCTGCACACATGTGTCCGCGTGGCTGGTTGCGTGCTGTGCACCGCTGGCGTGCCGGGGTGGGGAGTGCACATGTGGCCGGCTGCGCACTCCCCCACCCGGCTGTGCACACAGGGGCGTGGGCCTGGCTGCATGTTCGTGGCCGGTTGCCTACTTCGGTGCACACGGACACCGCCAGGGCGGGGGTGCGTGTGCACCACCCAGGATGTGTGCATGTGCGTGTGCGTGTCCCAGCCAGAACCTGCTCTGCAGCGCAGCAGATGTGGCCTCCCTGTTCCCTGCTGGGCCGGGGGCGGGGGGCTGCTCCAGGGCGAGGTCTCCCAGCCCCCCGGGGCGGTTTCACGGGGAGGCCGCGGCCCCTCACCCCAGCCAGGGGAACAGGAGAAGCCTTCCCCCTCCCTGCACGGTGCACACCGTCCCCCTGCCCCCTCCCCAGCCCTCCTGGTGCCCCTCACTCCCGACTCGCAGCCCCAGGCAGGACACGATGCGCTGAGACCTGATGTACTCATTCCTGGTGTCAGGCCTGCCAAAGAGAAGCCTCCAGCTCCAGCCCCCCCACCCTCAACCCACCCTGCATTTTTGGCAGGTGGCTGGAACCAGGCTCTGCTGGAGTCTCTGGTTTAACCCCCTCCTTGCCCCTGAGCAGCACCTCGGGTCCCCCAAGCTGGGCCCTGGGCCCTTCTTTCCACCCAGCATAGCTCCCCTGTCTCACGGACACCACCATCGCCCTGCCTCGGTTTCCCCTCCCCTCCCTTTGCCTGCCTGGGCTGTTTGAGAAGGGGCTGTACAGCGCCTAGCAGGGCTCTGCGTCCCCAGGGACCAGAGAGCGCTGAATGAGGGGCTCAGTCCGTAGAGCCTTCCGCATTGGCTCTGCTGACACCCCTCCCCAGTCCTGACCGCAGCATCCTGCCCTGCTAGCCACGGTCCCCCCAGCCTTGCTGGTGCCCCTCACTCCCGACCCGCAGCCCCAAGAACTGCCCGGTCAACTCTTCCCCTGCTGGCCAAATCCTGCCCCCCCATCGGATCCTGGCTCCGGAGCCGTGCCCTGGTGCTGAGTCACGGAGCCGGCCCCACGTGGGGAAGGAGAGACAGGGCGGGCGTGGGGCCAGGGAGTTCCCGGCGGAGCTGGCTGCCAGGCAGGGCTGAGCGCTGAGTCTCTGTGGCTGTTGGAGGCCCCCCAACACCCCACGTCCCTCCAGCGTCTCCTTGCTCGGGGGTCACCTCTGGGGCAGCCCCACGGCCCCTTCCTCCCTCCCCAAGCTGCCCCAGGCAAGGCGAGGGCACAGGGGCTGCAGGGAGGCCATGCCACGGGCCCAGTGCTGGGCTGAGACCCCTGGAACTCCTCACACCCCAGGGCCCAGGCCTTGCAGGGGCACCTGTGCTGCGCCAAGCCTGGGTCCCAGCCCTGCAGCACTGAGAACCAGCACCAGGGCCAAGCGCTGGCCGTGGGAAGGCCATGGCTGGGCCCTCCTGCTCCCCTGGGAGCTTGCCCGGGTGCTGCCCTTGCCAGCTGTAGCCTCCGTGTGCTGGGGGGGGTGGGCTGGGATGGTGCCATCCGGGGCACCGAGACTGGAGGGGAGGGTGAGGAGCTGTCTGTCCGTCCAAACGGCCCGGTGCCGTCCATCTGTCCCTCACCAGCTGCCCTGGCAGGACGGGGGGCAGAAGCAGCCGGGGTGTGGGAGAGAAGCCGGGCTGCGCCGGGAGCCGTGGTGCCAGGGGCGTGAGTCAGCGGGTCGGAAATGCCGGCAGCATGTGAGCATGGTGTGGGGGGACGTTTTGAGCCAGTCTTGGCCTGGCCTCCATCCCTCTGCCGGCTTCACTCACTCCTGCCCTCCGGGTGCGCCCCCACCCTTGGGCCATGGAGCTGCTCCCCCGGCCCCAGCCGGCAGCACGGGGCAGGGAGGCCCCTTGTGCGGGGAGACTCCATGCCCCATCGTGCCCGGCCGGCATCAGCCCCAGCGGTCTCTCAGCTGTGCGTGTGCATGTGAATTATGTGTGCACATCTGTGCATGAGTGTGTATGCATATGCATGTGTCTGTGTGCATGTGTGCGCGCATCATGTGTGGGTGTGTGCATGTGCATCGTATGTATGCATCCGCATGTCTGTGTGTGCGCGTGTGTACCCGTGTGTGTGCGCATACATGCATGCGTGTTCATGATCATGTGTGTGTGTGCGTGCGCGCGCGCGCATGCAGCAAGGGGGGGGGGGGGTGCCGCAGCTGGGGGAGGCACCAGGCAGCCGAGGGGCAGACAGGTCAGGACTGAGGGGCACTGAGCACCATCCACCCCAAGTGCCCTGGGGCAAGAGCAGCCAGGGGGATGCCAAGCTGTGCCTGCAGGGGTGCCATGCCCGCCCTGCCCTGCCCTGCCCTGCCCCACATCGGGGGCAGAAGCATGGCCCTGGCCCTGGGCCCAGTATCCTCCAGTTCCCAGGCCGGCGGGTGCAGTGGGACCCCGGCCCGGGCCCAGGCTGTGGGAGAGCCGGAGGCACGGGGTTCTCAGCGCAGCGGCGGGAACGGCCTCCTCTGGCCCAGCCCTGCCGGCCCCGCGGGGGTGTC